CAACCCGGTCTCCCAAGAAATGGAACCACTCCCCGCTCAAGGTACATAACGTGACCCTCTGGCGGTAGCAATCGAACATCGAAACCTCTCATAGGCATAACGACAAAGGAAAATGGAATTCCATGATAATCAACCTCTATATCACAACCCCTAACACCTTGTTTCAAAATCAATTCACCCCCAAGAGGTGACACTACACATATAGGAGATGGTAACTGTGCTAACTCCAATTCCAAAACAGATGCAAATGCAGCAGACACAAAGGAATGAGATGCACCCGTATCAATCAAAACATTAGCAACCGAGTTGCAAAACAAGAAGGTACCTCTCACAACTGATGGAGCCGGTACAAGATCCTGCGCGGTAACAGCGTACAGGCGCCCAGACGACCTCTGATCAACCTGCTCACCCCTAGGAGCATAAGATTGCTGCACTGACTGGGACGATGAAGCCCCCTAATTGGCCTTTTGGATTAACGTAATCAAACAGACATTCCTTCCTCAAGTGAATACTAATATCTATGGCTATAAAACAGAATAATTTGAACTTCTACTATGATACAAGAACCTCAACACTTCCCAAATTGGCACACATATCAGCTAAATGGGCTCTATAGCAACTCTAAGATACACTACTCTCAAAGTGTTCTCGTGCTCCTCCTCAGAAGGCGAATAGATAAGGATGTCGTCCACTTATGAACTGACTACAAATTCGACTCCAAGATTCCCAAGATAGATCAAGTATCATCAGGTGAACATAACTAGCCGGTGTGATTTGGTAAGTCCCGAATGAGTTTTCACTCAATACGATAACTCATAACTGCAATTAAACCTGCGTCGGAATATCTGTCTTATGAATATCCTCCTCCTGACCTCAACTGGTGGTACAACCGATCTCAATCTATCTTAAGATGACAACAACGGAGAACCCTTCAACTGGGTCAAAACAGATTCATTCATATCGGGGCATAGTGGTACTTATTCTTAACCGTAGCCTCGATTCAATTTCGTTGTATTCTACACCAATCTCAAGGCACCATCTTTCTTTTTAGCAAAGGGCTCGGTGCTCCACTTCACGTGGCGAAACACTAGAGGCGAATAAAGCCTTTATCTAAACGCTACCTGAAGCTGAACTTTCAAACTCAAACCAACTCTGCTAGTAGCAAAACGATAAGGTGCCATAGAAATCGCGCTAGTGCCAGCACTAAATCTAATGGAGAACTCAATCTCCGATGAGTGATGGGACAAACTAACAAGGTCTTTCGGAAAGACATCCGAATACTCACAAACCAACCCTCGGAATACAATCTGGCCTCATCACAACACACTACTCACTCATCAAAGTTGAAAAGTAGACCACTAGCTCACTTGCCCTGGAATCGTACTCCGGTGGCAAAACACAACAACACTGGTCTTCAAGAATGGAACCACTCCCGCTCAAGGTACATAACGTGACCCTCTGGCGGTAGCAATCGATATAACAGCCCGGTATGATGATAGCCAGTTCCATACCCAAAATAAAATCAATCAAAGCCTTCATGGGCATGACCAAAAAAGGAAAAGAGAGCCTATAGTCGGCGACCTCTATATCACAAAACCTTCTAAACACCTTATATTCTGTTTTCAGAATCAATCTCACCAATACAAGAGGTGACACCAACACAAATTAGGTAAGATATAGCTCTTACATGTGCTATAACTTCCAATTTCAAACAAGT